ACTATATCAATCTTTGACCAATAACTCACCAATATGTCTGTACCAGCATGAATGTCCTTATGACTTCTATAGTAGATTTCTCCCTGGTATTGGCGGTAGTATTTTGCTCATGGTGATACCTAGCACAGTTGACAAACCTCATCCAATTTTAATCTTTTGGATCCCTGCCATCCACAAAATGGGAAATTTTGCCATCTTTCAATATCTATAAAAGAAAGATACATTTTTAAAATTGGTGTACCTTGACTAAAAAGTAAATGCCACACCAAGCAAACTCTCAAAAGGGTGCCAATCTCCCTCTATCTCCAACCCTCCCCCAACCTCATGGCCAATGATCACAAATGAAATATTCAGTATACTAGTAAAAATAATAAAATTATTATTGTAAATGTAATAATTATACAAAATAGTTCAGTCCTTTGTGTAAAAGGGTAGCCAATCATCTGTAATTATAGCCAGTCACTAACATTTTGATAGAAAATGACTTTCCATTAAATTCCTTAAAACTGTTAAGTATGACCGTAATATATGTGACTGTCCATTAAGGCTTGTGAAGAGAAACAAAAACTGTAATTTTCAGCACTTATGATTTTTTTTTTCTTTTCATTGCTTTAAACATGTAAGATCTTAAAAAGAAGCAATTAAACACTTGTGAGAGCACCATGCAATAAACCAAAGCTATATGTTATTGTACTTGGCATCATGTTGCACAGATTTATGTACTTAAGGGACATGCTACGGATATATTTAATTGCTCTAGCTCCATACTTTAACAAAATTTAAATTAGAAAAAATGTGCTTCTGTACAATTTTAAAGATTTAAAACATTTGTCAGTGATATTATTTTTTTTTACTTGGTGTTGTCTCAAACTTGCAGATTAACAAACTTAACATATGAATGAAGTATATGATATTGGCAGCTTGCTCTTGTACTTAACTATGATTTGCTATAAACCATTTTGAGGGAACTTGGTTAAATTTTACATTTTGCTGTCACTTCCAAGGGACAAGGGGATTACTAGAACTTAGAAGATATTAACTTACTAGCCTAACATTTTTGTTTCCTTTTCATTACAGGTATATATCAAATATACTTTTGTTTTAAATAAATTGTATAATAATCTGCCATTGGAGTGACTGTAATATTTGGAATCAATTTCAACAACAATCTCCAATAAAATATGCCTGGTGTTATTGCATTGAAACATTTTTTTTTTTAAATTAAAAAAATTACAGTTCATTTCTTCATCATCTTTCAAAAATTTGAACTTGGATTTTAATAATTATTCATTGGTATTAGGTTTTCGATGGATCTATTTAAATTCAAAATATTTTATGTTAAAATTTCAGTATAAGAAAACAAGATGGCAAAGTTATTTTGTGTTTTTATAAATAGTATTGAAAAATTTTTTTTAATTTACTTTAAAAGCATTTGAAATAATATATATTTTTGTATTCGAAATGAGCCATTACAAAAACACAACAAACAAAGATACTTAAATAATTTTTTTTTGCTTCACAGTAAAATCTTCAGCTAATAAATATCTATGTTTAAGTGTTAGGATTTGATCAAAAATAAAAAATTTAGGACCCTTATGGGAGAAAAATAGATTGTAAAATAATGTATTAAAAAAATTTATAAAACATGATTATGCTAATGCCAATGGACAATCCTAATTTAATAATTTTTAATGATATTGTTACAAATCATGAAATAATTGATGGGAGTTGAACATTGTAAGTACAGAACTATCAAAAATTATGTTTGTTTTTTCACAGCCAAGATTAGCAGCTGATTATTAATTTGGTGTTAGGTTTTCTAAAAATGTATTTTTATATCTTTATTAAATATTAAGTTAAATATCTGAAGAAAATTGTTATATATCAGTAAAACTACCATCTCAATTTTTTAAACTTTTTAATACTGTATTTTTCGCAGTATAGGCAGCACTTTTTCTCCCACTTAATTTTCATAACTAGTCAAGCGGCATACAATCTTTTTTTTAAAAAAAAAAAAGAACCACATAATTTAAAAATTGGTATCGCAATACCAGTCCCTTTTACCAAAACCGGTATCAGCTGTATTAAAATTTAAGGAAAATCTACATGCTGGTGTTTTCCATATTTTCAATATTCAAAGAAAATATTATGGGTGGAAGCTTTCATTAAGATTAGATAGAGGTAACATTTTAATCAATTAAATAAAAACATTCACATAAATTCACATTTTAATTAGCTTTTAAAAAAAACAATAACACAAATGTTTAATTTTAGAAATTAATCAAATTTGAACAAAAATGGTTCTTCTTAGCTTCACCTGATTTATGCAGATCTGAAAGCATAAGTCACTTTTTTTTATAAAAATGTATGTGTTTGTTTAATCTTCTGTCAAATGTAAATAAAGAGATAGTAAAAATGACAGTGTGTCTAATGTTTGATCTCTTAATTTTGAACACCATTGGTTACAAAACTAACTGGATTACAAGAACACCCGCTCAGGCTCCACACTGGTCAAAGGATTAGAAATTAAGCTATCGTATGCCTGATTTCAAGATATTTTTCTATAGAACGGCTATTTTCAAATATAGCTCTGTCTATTCATACTAATGTGTCGATGTTTCCCATCAGTTGGTCTGGAAGCATTATCCTGAGCCTGAAGTTTTGTTTGGATTTCAATTTCCAAGAAATAAATCAAATGTTACTTATCACTGATCGCAATGGAGTAAGCTTGATCAGACTCAGACCCATCTTGAATGATCTTGCATGCAGTGGTGACACACAATATTTGTTAAGCCTAATTAAGCAGACACACCTTGAGTGGACATTACTTGAGCCAAAAAACTTGGAGTGAAAACAACTTGAGTGGATAATACTTGAGTAGACACACCTTTAGCAGAAACACCTTGGGTGTACACAATTTGAGTGTACACAGCTTTAAGGACACACTCTGACCCTGGCCTGGGCTTGAGAGCTGACACTGCTCACACCACCTGCCTCTGTGGGACCAGGGCTGCCACTCACTTTTTTCAAAATTCCCAAGATTTGGTCATGAAATTTCCCAAGATTTCCCAAGATCATAAAAGTATATAAGAGTTGTTTTTTAAATGGGGGGGGGGGGAGGGGGGGAGAAAAGGGGTTTCCTATGTCCTTAATGTAATAATAGATTGAATTAATGCCTCTGAAACACATGGTACAATAATTGACTAAAATTTATTGAAAAAGACATTTAAAAAAAAATGTTTATCACATAAAAGAAATAAACAATTTATTAAAAAAAAATTATTTATATTATTTTATTATCCAAAATATCAATACCCACTGGAGTTAGGCTATTAAATGTTACCTACAAATTCTCTGATAAAAATATCATCTACAATCCACGTGTTATAGAAGTCACTTGGAAACGAAGCTCACAAGGCTAATCAACACACTCAATTCCTTTTACAAAGGCAAAAGGTTCTTCATCAAAAATTGTTTTTTCTTATTGCAAGTCTGTTGATTAGTAATGGGGTTTGCAAAGCTATTAAGCAACATTTGTTAATAATAATGGTAGTTAAAATGGATTGATAGTATTATGAAAGCAATTAGTATTTTTATTTTTTCGTGTAAATTTGCATTATAATGGTTTTTATTTAAGCGAAATACTGTTTAAAGGAATTTTTCATTTATTTCCTACAATGTATAATTTGAATATCTTAGTTACCTGTGTTTCAATCCACAAATATTTTTTCCAATAGATGAAAATTAGGCTAGATTTTTTAAAGATGCATAATATTTTGAACACATTGTATAAGTTAATTGAAGTAATCCAATTTTACTATGTGTTCTTGATAGAACACTATCATTTGATAGAACACTATCATTCACTCTTTGGTTTGTACTGTTTCTTGTCTGGTTGCTAATGTCTTATACGCATGATAAATTTTCCGAGCCTACCGCCGCCCCCCCCCCCTGTTTAATAAACATTTAACACCTGGATGTAATTTGCAAATCTTCAACTTTAAAAAAGAAAAAGAAAAATTAAATTTTTCTTTAATTATTAACTTGTTGTTAATTTAAATTAACTTTAATTTCAGAAGAGTTCTTATTTATTTATAAATGGTTTTAAAAATTAAAACCAGAAAAGTCAATTTAAAAAATTATTTTTTTTCCTTGTTACTATAAAAAATTAATTTGCTTTATTTTCACTTTATTTTTTTTTATCACGTATATTGTTTGCGTTTTTCGAAAAATATAATAAAATCTTCCCCACAGTTAAGATTTCCCAAGGTTTTGCCTGATTTTCAAAATTATTCCCCAGATCCCAAGGGGGGTCGTGAATTCCCAAGATCTTGGGAAATTTCCCAAGGTGTGGTAGCCCTGCCGAATAGTCATTTGCAGCTATGGGTACTCGGGTACCTATAGCCACTTCGTTAATAAAAGGTAATTATCCTTTCACCCCCCACCCCTGTATTGTACTGTTAACAATGTTGATTTGATTTCGATGTGTATTTTTTGTGTTTTTCGGGAGGGAGAGAGACCCGGGTGACAGAATGCTTAGCTGCGCTACTGGAAAGGGTAGACCTAGATCTAGAATAATATTAATATGCCGAATCAAAGTAAAAATCGTTACTCCAGGTGAAGCCTGCTGAAAGTTAATTATATATTTTTTTTTTATAATTCGAAAAGATAAATTCACTTTCATCTGTGTTAAAAGTTTGTAATCGGTTAGTGTAAATTTGTTTAAAATATTTGCCAAATTCTATCACAAATCTTACCCTTACACTTACAAAAGGAGCATTTTGCATTAAAAAGGAAAACTCACATTTTCACATTGGTCTTAGAAAACAGCCTTCACCAAAATCCATTTTCTTAAACACCCTTCTTTTTGAGTGGATGCTAATTCTTCTTAAGTATTCGATTATAATATCGTTTAACTCATCTTTAAGGAAATATAAAAGGTTTATTGACATGGAAGGTGGAAACAAATTTTAACAATCAAAGAACTTAAGAAGTGACTAGTTTTGGTGAGACGGTTGTCACCTAAACATTGTAATATTGTTTTATATAACATAGGTAACATTTCAACGGATATATTAATATATTTTTATAGATCATGCCTACTGTACTGTTACAACTACTGGTGATAAGTGCTATAATACTATATATATATATAATATATAGATTATAGATAGACAAGACATTCATAGTCATAGTCATACTCATCCACTCATACTCATAGTCATAGTGCTACGACCGAGTCCGCTGAGTTTAGTAACTAAAACTTTTTGCTTTGGGCCACCATTTATGATAGTTTATAATAGGCAGAGGCCATAGGTCTTACTAATACTACTCTTACTTAAAACTACACTTATTAATCAGGTACTGATTATATCATAATCATATGAATAGCAGAATTTAAACAATTTAGTCAGGGAAGGCCACTGCTTCACCCCCTGCCCCTACCCTAAAAAAGCATTAATGATTATTACTATTACTAGTTATCCCAATCCTTTACTCTTAATCTTAATTTTTAAATACCAGGAATAAGATCAGAAAAAATATCTCTTTATTTATTCAATTTGGTCACTTTTCAAGTCCCCAAACCTTTAAAAAATTAATTTGAATCCATTTCGTGGGCTGCTAAAAATAGTTCAGGTTTTCTCTCAGGACTCAGGGCATTTAGGCAAGTGTCTCATTAGCCGGCACTGGATATACAGGACTGTAAATTTGCAGTTTTAGATTCTAGGCCTAGTCATTTCAAAATATAAGTAGGCCTGCAAGTATATTTTTACTGTCAGACTAAGCGAAAGAAAGACAGGACATAAAAATGGCTAGTCCAGTACCAGACAGATTCAAAGAAGGTTTTTTTTAAGAGTAAGAGTCACTAAAATTTTTCCCAAAAATTTAGTTATCATTAGGTTTGTTAACTAAGTAGGCCTATAAATGAAATACTATATTTAGTGCTTCACCTTGCTAATCAATGATTGTCCAAAGGGGAAGATGAGAGTGACAAGTCCTCATTATTTTCAATGTCAATTCTTTAAGTCTTTTCTATAGGTGTTAGGTCCCAATTCAAATATTAATTTACTTAGTTGTTGTTGTTTTTTTAAAATCAATATTTCAAGATGGCAATGCCTAACTTGACTACTGATTCTTTAGCATCAATTTTTTGAAGCCCTTTAACACCTTGAAAACGTTATAAAAGAAAGATGCAAATTAAAAGGAAAGTGGAAAAGTGTCATTTTTTTAATTAGGAAAAATAAATATTATTGTAATTGTTTGCAGGCGCAATGACAAAAGATTTAAAGATATTACAGTTTCCATGTTGCTATGTTAGATGTTGAAGGTAAGTAAGATGGCTTAAATCTATTCCTATTGACTTTGACCAGTAATAAAATATTAAATTTCTGTTAAATTAATAATAAGCAATTATTTTTAACCAGATATTAAAAATAAATTCAAATTGTTAAACCTTTCAAAGGGCCTTTGGATATAGTTCACTTAGAAATCCACTGTAAATTTCAATAGGCTAGGAAACGCTAGTCCTATTTTTTATTAAATATTAAAACTAAGAGCCTTTGCTGTTGTAACAAACTGATTTTGATAGAAATACTTTTTAAATTTTTTGTAGCCTAAATGGAAAATATTTTATTCCTCTAGCTTGATCTCTGTTGCAATACCAGTCTGTGTTGCAATACTGGTCTGTGTTGCATTACCAAGTGCCCAGGATACTGTGCGTGTCGGTATTAAAGCCCCACATTGATCAATATTGTTTCTTCTTTAAGTATGTTATTAAGTATGTTTAAAACCCAATTTTAGCCAAATTACCAGATCAATCTATACCTCTTACTATAAATAGCTTTCTAAAGTTGAATAAGGTGTTTTACATCTGAAATAATAAACTTTGCAAATGTAAAAAAGATGCAGAGCAAGACAAGAGGATGCCTCATTATGTCCAAAAAATGGGGGTGGGGGGGGGGGGGGTCATTTTTTACTGCAAGGGTAAAATTCTTCCTTTTGGCTTTTAAACTTTACACGTGTTCCATTGATAGATTTATTGTATATATTGTTTGATATATCTTCCTTAAGAGATTATCTCATGATTTAATTAAAAAATTTGATAATTTTTTTCTATGTCATCTAAAGGACTTGTATCCCTGGACAAAAAATTTTCCCCATCTGCATTTTTAAAGATTAAAAAGAAGTTAAAATGGTTAACACACCGATTCCTCACAGCTTAAAATCAGAAGCTAAAAAAGCTGCAAAAATCCTTCGAGAGTTTAGCATGCCAAATGCTAAAACTGGACCAGATAAACTTATTCCAGGTAAGATTAAAGCAATAGCTTTGTAATTCTATGATAGTGTATGTAAAATAAAAGTATAACTAAGATTCTCAAACTAATAATGTATCTCAAACATTGTTGGTAAATAAGGTTCTAACATGTACAAAAAGATATATATATTTAATTAAAGGCATCTGTTTTAAATGTTGTTATATGAAATATGAAGGTGTGTCATATCTTCCTACTTTTGACAGTAACATCTCATTGATGGTACAAAACAGGTTAAATGTGTATTTGCTTATTTGTTATGATTTTTAAAGAAATTTATTTAGAGCCCTCTGTTGAAACTGGGTTGGTCCCTTCAATTCTTGTAGAGACTGGGTTAGTCTCTTCAATTCCTGTTGAGACTGAATTAGTCCTTCAATTCCTGTTCAAACTGGGTTAGTCACTGCAATTCCTGATGAAACTGAATTAGTCCCTTCAATTCCTGATGAAAGTGAATTAGTCCCTTCAATTCCTATTGAAACTGAATTAGTCCCTTCAATTCATATTGAAACTGAATTAGTCCCTTCAATTCCTATTGAAACTGAAATAGTCCCTTCAATTCATATTGAAACTGAATTAGTCCCTTCAATTCCTATTGAAACTGAATTAGTACCTTCCATTCCTGTTGAAACTGGGTGAGTCACTTCAATTCCATAACTTAATTTATTATGAGTCCTCCATTCATTTACTCATCTAGCCAAGGTCATTATTTCTGCTCAAAATAATGATTGCTGTTGCATTTCTTTCAGCTGGTATTTTAGCCAAAGCCAAAGGTCTGGCCATCATCACAGTGTTTAAGGCTGGCTTCCTGGTGACTGCAAGAGGTGGCAGTGGTGTTGTCATAGCCAAACTGAGCGAAGACATTGACAGTTATGACTATGCAAAAGGTAAGAGCTCATTCCTTTAAATTTTCGCATACATGTATTGAATTTATGAGTTAAAACAGAGACAAAGTGTGAGTCACAGCCCTTTATAAGTGTAGGGAAAGGGATTTAACTAGAGGCAGTTGGACAAAACATGCTTAACCATTTGTTGTTTACTTTTCCAGCAATTATTTGTTTTATTCTAGACGTTTTCTCTATTTTTTACAAATATAATGTGGGTTTTTTTGTTGTTGTTTTATTTGCTTGATGAAAATACATGTGCATATTTTATCATAAGGTTGGTCAGCCCCATCAGCTATAGCGCTGGCTGGTTTGGGAGGTGGATTTGAAATTGGCATGGAGGTAAGTTAATGTTTTGTCTCAACTAATTCCTTCTCATTGTGATATATAGAATCTGTGCATCTTGAATACATAATCTTTGGCTATTTGTGTATAGGTAATCAAGGGGCTGCTTAGGTCCTCATTATTTCTTCTATTTGAATCCTAACGATCAAATTATTTTAACCAATGGTATGATACTTTTCTAACACATTTTTAACTGCGTTGTGGCACTCCGTAAAAGGCACCACACAATACCCTCGCCCCGAAAATAACGAGGGAAAAATTGGCAAAATGTTTCACACAAAAATCAGACATCCTCAACACAAATATGACATAAATTTATGACCCTCTCCCCACCTTGAGGTTTGATGTCATTATTCATGTATTGGCCCTGTGATGATAAATTATTGTTACATGATTAGTTGAGTGAATTTTATGATCTGTGTTGATGTGAAATGATCTATCTACAAGTAAGTTCTTCATCAGATTGTTGGTCCCTCCCCCAGGTGACTGACTTTGTTATTATCCTGAACACAAGATCAGCAGTGGAAGCCTTCTCAAAGGGAGGTAACCTCACATTAGGTGGAAATTTCACCATTGCTGCGGGCCCCTTAGGCAGGAATATTGAGGGGGACATCGCAGTTAGAAGCCCAGCAGCCATTTATACCTACTCCAAAACCAAGGGAATTTTCGCTGGCATTTCGGTGGAAGGGAGTGCACTTATTGAACGGAAAGATGCCAACAGGAAGTAAGTATAAGTGATGTAATATTTTTAAGAGTTGTTGCTTTAGAGTACACAATTAATTTGTATATAATTATGGAATTCAGATGATAAAAATTATAAGATGATATTCAAATTAACAGTGCAGTTGTTGAATGTGAAAAGATTATTTTTTGGCAGAAAAAATAAATAAATTGAAATTGTAAAAAAATAAAGTATGAATAAAGCTCTATTATTATCTGAACTGTCTGAAACAGTTAACTGTATTATTATGAAATAGACGATTTTTTTAAAGTTAAGTAATTTGTTAATCTATCATTAATAGATCAAGTGAGCTGAGTGCTTACATTTAAGGTAAATGTTTTGTCCAGAAAAAAATAGATTTTTCGTTGTTTCAAAAATGTGTCCCCAGCTTTTGGGACCTGTACTGGCATAGATTTCAACCACCCCCCTACTTTGAAATAATAAGTTAAGAATTTGTCATAGAAAATCTTCAATGTGTTCATTTTATTAATGTACTGCAAGACACTGCCCAATTGTCTAACTTACATTTGAACTACACAGTTTCCACTAAAACCTTACTGTCATTCAAAGCCCACAGAGCAATAGAAAGAACATTGACAGTGTTCACATTCAGCCTATAGGATTTTGTATAACCTTTGTGGCCAAAACTCACTGCACAACAAACCTTTAATCTTAGATTGCAGAAGATGTTTTGGGCACTGCAGTTCAGTTTAAAAGTTTAATAAGCCAGTTTCTTCAACAATAGAATGTGTATACACAAAACCTGCGGCTGGAGTTCAAACCCATAACAATTACCAGTGAAGCAAAACAATGCCGCCATTCTAAGTGGATGGGACTGATCAACCTTGAATGGTGGCCCATCAAAGAGAAGGAAACTCTGATTGCAAACCTCCAATGCCATGAGGCGGTATGACACTGACTCAATGAAAATTCTCCCGACTCCTGTGACGCCTCTGGGTTCCCCTGAGTTGACAAGCTGCTTGGAGAGGAGGGATCTGCTGATATTAATCCCCATAACATAACCCCAGGCCTTGTGGTTTCACAACATCCAGCAAAAAAAAAATTTTGTTGGTTTATTTTACCCGTCAGATACCTTTCTACTGATCAAAAATATAAAAGCCCAACTCTGTACGTCTTAAAGCCCTAAGCCCATCTTATCACGTCTGTCAATGTCATGTTCAATAGTTATTCTGAAAGGATTACGGAATGGCTTCTTGTGTTGCAGATTTTATGGGCAGGAACTCCGGGCCCACCAAATTTTAAATGGAGAGGTTAACCCCCCTGAAGAATGCAGAGCTCTGTATGATGTATTGCGAGAGCACCAGGAGCTCGCGGCTCAAGCGGCTGTTAAAGAAGTCAAGCGAAGGGCCACCAAATACGTTGAAGAGTTCAAAGAGGACTCTGCGACAGAGGGTTCATCGAGACTAACGGTAAAAGCCGTGGCTCAAAATAGTTTTTTTGTTTAAAATCATTTTTAAGAGGCTTTCCTGCGACTATCTAATGGTGGTGAAAGAGTTAAGCTTGTCTTTGCTTGAAATAAGAAATATATATTTTTTGGATGGCTGACCCTGATCTCTCGAACATGATAACTTTGTTTGTAATTCTATTGAAGCCTTTTAGGTCACTTAAAATGTGGTTTGTAAAAACATTATGTATTGGTAAAACAAAATGAGGCTATTATTTTTTTTTATACAAAACTTATTTGAACTTGTTTTGACAGAAAAGTAAAATTAGCACCAGGATTTTAAATGAATGTTCCCTCCCAGAAATATGTATGTGTGGGCAAACAGACATAAGATACTAGACCAACTCGCAAGAGGAATTTAGCTGCACACAAAAATTTTATTTTCTTGGAAGGGGGTGGGGGTTCACTTTGAGTGAAGTAAGTTTTTCCTAGAGAGATAGGTCAAAAAATTTGATTGGAAATATACAATATTTTTGACATTCACACTTTTGAGGTATTCCAAAGATTGGAGAACTTAATTTTTTTTTAGTAAAAAAAACTGCTGCATTACTTTATAAATACATTACACATCTTTATGTGGACTTGGCTTAATTTTATTACAATTTCCTTTCAAAGAACTGGAATGTGTCATTGAATAATTGAGAATGCAAACTAACTTAAGATTGTGCATGATGTTTCCTTTACTTTACAATGACATATGATATTATATCTGCTTGCACTTTTACTCCTGCTATTCCTTTAGTCTGAGTCCTGGAGGCACGTATCAAAACTTGGCTCACCATCATCAACAAAAAGGAAAAGCTCCCGGTCACACTCTGACTTCTCACTGTCTGGCTCAGCCAAAGCAGCAGAAAAGAAACAAAGCACATCATCTTCGTTCAACTCCCATAAAGATTCATGGTCGGGAGCCAGCAGTGCAGCGGTACAACCGAAGGCGCATGATCCCTGGGCAGAGATGGACTCCGCTGCAGCATCAACAAGAGTTGTTGGCAGGAAAAGAAGCGAAAGTTTTTCAGTGAAAGCTGATTTCTCTTTTACCGGACCTCTACCATGTGATTTGTCATTTCACGCAGGTGATGACTGGTGTAGTGAATGTTGTTGACATAATTACTGTTGACGTGACGAGCCAATACCTTGTGTGCTTTTAATTTGTTGATATCATTGAATGTTGTTCATATGTTGATTTCTTGTTTTTTTGTTAATTTTTTTAATGTTGTTTTCCTGTTTGTTGATACCTTATATCTTAACATGTTGTAAGTTGATAAATGTACACAATATAAGAACTTCATTGCTATCAGATTGCAGTGCTAAAAATAACTTGAAATTTGTTCATGCTGTCTCTACTCTGGCCCAGTTTGAAATTGTTCATGAATGTTGCAATTGGTTGAACAGCATCATCAACAATCTGATTTTCTGACCAACTTGTTTATTGACAGGTGATGTAATCAAGGTGACAACATCCACATCCAGCCAAGATGACTGGTGGGAAGGTATCAGTAAATCTGGTCAACAAGGAATATTTCCTGCAAATTATGTTCACAGAATCTAGGACAGACATCTCCTGCTAATAATGTTCTCAGACTCTAGGAAAGACATCTCCTGCTAATTATGTTCTCAGAATCTATACCAGATACAAAAATGAATAAAAACATAAAGGGAGTCAACCCCTTCCCCCCTTGAGTCCCACATTGTGGCCCTTTGATTGACATCACCACTTCTTTTGAAGTTGAACTGAACTAGTTATCAAAATATAAAGGGAATGTTTTAAGTGCTGATATGTCCAGAGCAAGCTTTCAGATGGGCATTTTTATCAGGACATTTATTCTTTTTGGAAAATTGTCTTCAAGGCCACACAAGGTAACATATTCCACAAATTAAAATACAATTTGTTTGCATTCCTCTTCTTTAAAAGCATTCCTTTGCGTTGCATATCAAAAATTTACTGCACACTAGACTCATCACAAATCATTTCCATTGGAATCTCAAAGTCACTTCACTCTGAGTTTTGGATACATAAAGTGTCTTGTCAACATTGTCAGAAAATCCATTAAACACATAGAGAAAAGTTCTCCGGAAAATCTAGGGACCAAAAAAGGATGAATATGGATGGAGAATAAGAACCAACCAGGAATTGTATAGTCTATATCAGGATCCCACACTAAGAGCAGAAATAAATAAGGGTAGATGACGCCAGTCTGAACACTTAGAAAGAATGCCAAATGGTAGAGAGGTGAAGAGGGTGCATCACCAACACCCCAGAGGAAAACGGCTTAAAGGCAGACCTAGGCTTAGATGGATGGATGATGACGAGAAGGATCTACAGCAGCTGAAAATCCGAGCATGGAAAAGAAAAGGATCAGTTAAGTCTGAGTGGAAGGATGTAGTGAGGCCGGCCGAAGCCCTGCATGGGCTGTTGGGCCACTGGGATGGACTATATAGAACTTTGAAGATTCAGTTTCTTTTTATTTATAACTTTGTTGGTTTTTTTAAACAAAAACTCTGACTTCCATCAATGTTGCTGAATGTAAAAAAAAATAATTTTTATAACATTTATCTGTCAAAGTATATTTACACAACAATAACAAGTGTCAAAATCTATGTATAATCAAAGACTGTTCTTTCACATAGGTCTATATGACGTTTACATTTCAATGATAAACCAGGGAAATTCCTACTTTCGTTTCACTTTTACTGCTAATTTAAATTTATGATGGGTGGGTGGGTGGGTAGACAGAATGATAGTGCAGTTTGTTGTATGTTGAATGCATTTGTTGTTTCTTGGCCTGATGCAGGATTGATCTCCCTTTGGTGGGAAACTTTAAGAGTTGTCTCAATTTTTTTTAGCCCTTTATTTTTAAACTGTTCCTTGTCCTTGCTACCTTCGCAAAACCACATTATTTGACAAAAAAATGTCTGTTTCGGAGGTCTTTAGGCATAAAATGTCTGTTTGGGGGTCTTTAGGCTTAAAATGTCTGTTTGGGGGTCTTAAGGCATAAAATGTCTGTTTGGGGGGTCTTTAGGCTTAAAATGTCTGTTTGGGGGTCTTTAGGCTTAAAATGTCTGTTTGGGGGTCTTTAGGCTTAAAATGTCCGTTAGAGGGTCTTTAGGCATAAAATGTCTGTTTAGGGGTTTCTTAGGCATAAAATGTCTGTTTAGGGGTTTCTTAGGCATAAAATGTCTGGGGTCTTTAGGCATGAAATGTCTGTTTGAGGGTCTTTACGCGTACAATGTCTGTTTGAGGGTCTTTACGCGTACAATGTCTGTTTGAGGGTCTTTACGCGTACAATGTCTGTTTGAGTGTCTTAGGCATAAAATGTCTGGGGATGTTTAGGCATAAAATGTCTTTTTGGGGGTCTTGAGGCATAAAATATATAGAAGTTTAAAAAAGATTCATTTACAGTAGTATGCCTTTCTTTCAAATTCCTTCACATTAAATAACTGTATTTCCCTACTGAATTAATTATGATATATATTCTATGACTTCACATTGGAATACAGTAGATACTCTACTGAATTTAATGATGTATATAATAGCAAAAAAAATGTATGTGCCAAAATATGACTACCTTATTGAAATCAGTGGAAATTAATATCTCTTTTATCAGAAGGAGGGACAATCAAGTTACGATGTCCAATGTTCCAAATAAGGTACCAGTGTAAATGCCATGACGTTATCAACGCTTTATATGTGTTATCAAAAGGAGTGCATGCTGTAAGATTTTGAGATCCCCTCCCATGACTTATTTACCTGTAATTTATATTCTTGGCTATATTTTGTGTGTGTAAATGTGTTCCCTTGAGCATAATTAATTTTACTAAAGTCTTAATCTCATAAGAGGGCAGAAACAGTACTTCATTCAAGTATTCTCAAACAAATACCGTTTTTGTTTGTATACATATCAGACAATGAAGCATAAGGCAGCATTTCCCAAACTTAATTTCCAGGGCCCAGTTGTTTTAAAATCCTTTATATTAACTTTGCTTTTTTTTTTTTTCACGTTTTTCTGGCTATAAAATTCCCCAATAACTGCCCAAAAAAAGTTTCTTTTTTAAAAAAATATTGAAATTGATATTTTCTTTTGTTTTCCTGAAATAGTTGGTGAAATAAATCTGCGGTGTAAACGCGGGTGGAACATCAGATTATTAATATAGTTCAGCGGCGTGAAAAAATGGTCGATTTCGAGCCTTGAGGGGAAAGCAATAAATTGGATTTCTATAAAGTGCTTTACTTTTATTTTTTAAATTGTTAAATTTTTCAACCCCCCCCCCCTCCCGCACATTGCTCAATATTAGATTTTTAAAAGGATTTGTACCAAAAGCTTCATTTTTTAGGGGTTGTTGAATCAAACACTAATTTTTTTAGATGAACTAAACTAAATCTCTGGTCAATAAGTTATTACACAGAAGTGGGGGGTTGTTGAATCAAACACTAATTTTTTTAGATGAACTAAACTAAATCTCTGGTCAATAAGTTATTACACAGAAGTGGGGGGTTGTTGGGTTTTTTCCATTATTAACTAGAAATTTAAGTTGGTCATAAGAACTAGAATTCTGATAATATTACTTGTCAAAATTATTCCAATCAGTATCTTACTACACAAACTACATTTAATATATTTTTAAGAACACATGCTGTGGTGAAGTCCACAGCACACAGGTAAGACAAGAGGCATCAGAAATATTATTATCTATTCTACGGAGAAAAAAAAGAACAAAAACACCTAGGTTTTCAGCTTTTCCTATTTGGTGCCTTGCTCTTTTGCTTTCGTGCCCTGGTACCAGGCCGTGACCCAACATCTAGGGAACGCTGCCGTAGAGTAATGATTACTTAATTCTGTAAAGTAAAGATAGATACTTGAATGAAGTTTTATTCTCTCAAACAAACGTTTGTAAAGCACTTTGTTGACATTGAATATAAAATGTAAAACTCACAAAGTAAACAATTATTCATTGTGTATTGCATCATTCTGAATTGCTTTTTGTCATTATTCATATCTTTGAAGAAATGTAGATCTTTGACAAAAGTCATATCTTTAATAAACTTCATATCTTTGAAAATGTTCATATCTTTGACCATATTCATATCGTTGACAAAATTCATACCTTTGACATTGATTTCAAAGATGTAATATAATTTATTTATAATATTGTATTTACAACTATTCATTATTATTTTGTTACAGCTTTTTTTTATAATTTACATTTTTGTACACACAAATCTATACAATAAAACTATTTGATTTCAATGGTTTGTTCTTATCATAAATTTAATTTAATCTACACTCATATAAAAGGAAACTTTTTTTTTTTTTTAAATCCTTTATATTAACATCGCTATTGTTCCAAGGCTGGATGTCTGGCAAAATCTTCAGTCAACTTCCCGTCAACCTATCAAGCTGAAACTTGGCACAAGGACACATGACTGATGACAACACCCCCACTAATAAAAAATCGGCTGTTGTTTTTTCTGCTTTTAAGGCGTAACATGAAGGAAAATTCCAGATAACTAACTGCACTAAATCAGATTCTTTAAAAGAAACAAGATAAATATCACAAATGCTTTTATCGTTTAATATTTTCTTTTTCTGAAATAGCTGGTGAAGTATATATATAAATGTTATCACGATAATTCATAAGATTAAGATACATATATATATGTTGAACTCCTACATAATATATGATTTATTGATGAATCGGTGGTGGGGGTGCCATGTTCAGGGTTAGCCCAGAGCGCAGCTACTCCTAGGGTCGGTCATGGTATATGTTCGACCGATGGTCAGCTCCTTGTTCAGGTTTCGTCTAAGCTGGCTGCATGAAATATGAACGTTACAACGGTGCCGCGATTGGGCAGGCTATGGACTGAATTAAGTTGAGTTGTTTCAGACGAATGTCAATACACAAGTGGAATGGAAAATTCACAACTTTATCGTTAGATTCAGCTTGCATGGTCTCACTATCGTTGTGAGGTGAGCAAGTAGCTGCATAGATGGAAGGGCTTGATATATTCAGGGTCGTGCTAAAGGGTGGGTGTGACGAAATTGGCGCTCCTCCAGGGCGCTAACATTGGGGGGGGGGGCAAAAGTCGTCTTTATATATGAACTTTCTTGTGAATTGAACGATACAAATGCCATAAAATGCCATTTGCTTCATAAAGACAAGGGGCGACACTTTTTTTTTAAAAACTTTTCCGCCCCGTGGGCGTATATTTTGTTCTATTTATAAGAGGGTGCAATTTTCAGGCTTCGCCCCGGGATATACGTCTCTCATTACAATATTTTCGCCCGCCCCCTGATCCACTCTAATTGTTCTATGCATTTCGGAATAACTAACGAATCGATCGCCCCCCCCCCCCCCCCCCCCCCCCCCCCCCCCCCCCCCCCCCCCCCCCCCCCCCCCCCCCCCCCCCCCCCCCCCCCCCCCCCCCCCCCCCCCCCCC